CTGTATTAGAGGGTAGTTGTGTACACAGAATTTGTGAGCATTGTAGATATACAGCGTGCGACTGCATATACACATGTATTTATGTAATTAATCCCTGTGTTGTTAGTTGTAACATTTTCACTTGCACAAAAAACTGTCAATTAAATGATTTGATTATAAGACCAGTCAATACTCACACTGACCTCAGCCCACCCCCCCACCCCAACCTCTCTCAAAGTCATTGAGTGCTCATTTAAAGATTGATAAATGTTAAGTGAATTTAAACGTGACAAAGAGCATCAGTCCCTCTAAAAGTTATCGATTGTTGGGTCGCACAACTGGCCACTCAACTGTGAAGGATACATTTCTATTAGAAGGTTCCAGTTTAGGCAATAACACTGCTATACTTTATATATTTGTACAGCAGGCTTTTATCATTTATCTTCCTCATGTGCAGCTTTTTCTTGTCTCACCAAATCAGCAGCTAATGGTTTAATTTAAAAAATGATAAATGTTAAGTGAATTTAAACGTGACAAAGAGCATCAGTCCCTCTAAAAGTTATCGATTGTTGGGTCGCACAACTGGCCACTCAACTGTGAAGGATACATTTCTATTAGAAGGTTCCAGTTTAGGCAATAACACTGCTATACTTTATATATTTGTACAGCAGGCTTTTATCATTTATCTTCCTCATGTGCAGCTTTTTCTTGTCTCACCAAATCAGCAGCTAATGGTTTATTTATTTCCAGGCAACAGATCAAAACATCCTGAATGACAGCTGCCAAATATGTCTTAGGTCTTCAGGACACTTTAGCAGGCCAGACACCTGACAACACATCCTCACTTAGAGTGCCATTGCCTGCACATTTCAGGAGCACTGAGCATTGACTGGGCAGTGAAATGGAAAACAAGTATTCCACTGTTGAATAGCTGATTAGCAGTAGCTAAAACATGCTGATTTCAGGCACTGTGAGCACTAATGGTGCCAACTTAAGGTCAGCGCTGATATTGAATATTACACACTAGATGAAAACAAAAAGACAACCTGACTTTGCAGGTTGCAGATTCAAAGTCTGCTTAGTCTGTCTACAAATGATAAAATAAAACATTAACCATCTTCCATCAGTCATTACTGTATGTGTCGGAAAAATGGCTCTGGAGTACTTTAATGTCAAACACTTCTAACATTGTAGGCTGCGGTGTCTGGTGCCAAAATTGTGCTTCAGGGACCCATATAGAAAAACTAAGACCACCGCTACTGTAACTTATGTCTGTTATAGTCCATCCATTATCTATACCACTTATCCTGTAGAGGGAGTTGGTTATGGTGAAACTATGACACTGAAACCTTTTCTGTTTATAATAAGTTCAGGTAAATTCAGTGATAATGAAGTTACACTATTCCTCATTATGAACACCTGAGAGATTACGATGGACTTAACTGGTCAATATTGTAATTACAAAAAAGTAAAAGAAAAAG